GGCGAGCGGGGTCTGTGGCCGTGCGGGGGGACACAGGCGGGTCTTTCCATGGGGTGCGACGACAGTCTGACGCTCAGCTGCCTCGGGTCTGGGGCAGCCCATTCGCATCTCGAGCCTGACGAGCGCATTTGCGCTCGATGTCCCCTCAGCGACATCCTCCATCGCCTTTTTTGCTCCGCTGTTGCGTCAGGCGGCGACGGGCGTGGGCGCAGGGGTTTCCTCTCGTCGACAATTGTCGTCTGTGGTTCGGTTGTCTGCGCTTCGACATCTCGTCTCTGCATCCTGCGTCAGCAAGTGGCCACCGCCGTTTGCGCTGACCCCTTGTCGAACAGTTGCGCCATCGTGTGCGCTTCGCCGTCGTCGAAGAACTGCGCCTCCTCGAAGAACTCTGAGCCGTCAAAGAGCAGCGCCATCGTGTGCGTTGTGCCCTCTTCAAGGTAAAGTGTTGTTCGGCCTGCCCACGTGTCAGGCATGTTTGCCGGCCCATGGGAGCGGCCCCATGATTCTTGCGTGCCATCATCATCATCATCATCGCCTCGATCATCACCATCATCGTCACCACCGCCATCAGTGTCATCATCTTCATCATCATCATCATCATCACCATCATTGTCATCGTGATCATCATCATCTTCATCAACATCATCATCATCATCAACAACATCATCATCAACCTCGTCAACGTCATCAACATCGTCATCATCATCGACATCATCATCAACATCATCAGCGTCATCAACAACATCATCATCATCAACGACATCGTCGCCGTCGTCGAAATCACCACCATCGTCCTCTTCGTTATCATCGTCATCATCAACATCGTCATCATCGTCATCGTCATCATCGTCGTCATCACAATCATCATCATCACGAACATCATCATCGACATCATCATCGACGTCAACATCGTCATCATCGTCAGCGACATCGTCGCCCGGATCAACATCACCACCGTAATCGTCACCATCATCGTGTTCATCACCGTCATCATCATTATCATCATGTCGTGCCACGTGTCGCAAGTGGCTGGGACGGTGGGAACAGATGACGTGGACATCGGGGCACACGGTTAGCGTGTCCCGTTCTGCTTCACTCTCATTTGTTCCGCGCGACCGCCCCCACGGCTTGGCATTGAAGAAAAACGACCGTTGATCACGAGCTGGACATTGCAAACCGCTCTCGCGTGGTCGAGGCAAACACGAAATCGCCTATTCCCAGCGGACACTTCCCTCGCTCGTTTGCTGTTCTCATCAAAGAGATTAGAGGTTGGTTATTACAAGGGAGACGCGTGGGCTGCACGCAACCGCTGTTGGTACTAAGCGTCGCGCGGTGGCCACGGGTGGAAGGATGTCCGCCGTCCACGTGGCGTGCAGTGAAAGGTAAGGTATTCATAAACAGGAGGGGGTCGTCATTCCGTGTTCGTGTTCTCGCCGCAACACTTGAGCCTCCCTCCCCGAAGAGACTATGGCGTCGATCCCGGGAGAGTTGCTGTCGTCTCCATCCCGCGCACACAACGTGCACATGATCCACTATAGAGGCCATGGATGTTGAGCGCGCGCTCCTGGCGCTGGTCGTGAGGGATGCGATATCGCATCCCGCACGACAAATGGCAGGACTGTGCGCGCAACATCCGCGGGATCCAGAACGAAGAATGCACACGTTGCGTGCGCGCGATATAGAACGCCTGCGCCGCTCGCTGCAATGACGATGGTGTTTCTTCGGCGTGAGCGCTGCATGTTTCGTGACGACAACCTTGACATGAAAACATGGCCTCGTTCAGTAACGAACAATCCGGTCGCCTCCGGGAAACGTCTCAGTGATCGGGGCAAGGGGGGTTGCCATTGTCACCGCAAGCTCGAAACCAACAACAGCCAAACAAAAAACGGCGCGTGGCGTGTAGTTGCCTGGCGAGATGGAAAGTTCGGATCCCGGCGAACTACAGCAATCATGCGCAGTGCTCTTGCAAAAGCAGCAATCTGTTGCCGTCGCGCGGCCGCAGGGAGAGCACACGCAGGTGCGAAAATAGCGCATGATTGCTGTAGTTCGTCGGGATCCGAAGTTCCCATTTTTTTGGCGGTTGTTGGCTTCGCGTTCCCAGTTTCAATGCCATCCTGGGTTGCCCTGATGACTACGTTTTGCGGGACACAGTTCCCATCTTTCGCGCGTGGGGTCGATAGCTCATAACGCCATGGCAGTTTTCAGCGTGCGACGAAGTTCGGATCGCGGCGGACTTGCAATCTGAAGCATGCGAAGTCGCGGGCTGCTCGGATGATTATTGTTGTTTCGACCGCGCCGCTGAAATAAGACGCTTACGGTTTGCACGGATCTTTTCGGAGTCTGGTTGCATGACTGTTCTTTCGTTGGCGTTGCCGCAAAAAAAAAAAAGTCTTACCAATGGGACCCCAGCAAAAACAAAGTGTTTAATGCTCCCGGTCGAACGCGGCAACCGATGTGAAGTTCGGATCCGGGCGGACTTAGTGGTTGGCACCCGTACGTGGTCCCATGAACCTGGCTGTGGAACCTGCCATTGCCCGACTGTGAGCTCGCCTTGTCTGCGGTGCTAATCGGGGGTCCACCAGCCGTGGTCATTTTTTTTTTTTTTCTTGCACTCATTGTCATCAAGGATGGCAACATTTGCGACTGGATCGCCGCAAGTGCTCGCTTTGTCGATGAGGAGAATCGGGGTCCATGGGGGTCTATTGGGGGCCGCGTTGCGCCAATTTTCGACGTGGTGCACCTGGGACGACTATTTCTGTTGTGCGTGCTCTGTTGGAACAAGGACTTGTGAGCAGCAGTAGGGCCTCCCTGACCATGCAGCCAAGCCTGGCATTCCTTCTGTGCAATTCCACACTGGTCGTCCAAATATCCGTCGTCCCCCGCGCAAACCGTTTCCTGGCCAGTCCAGCAAGCGCCAAATTCGGATCCCGGTGGACTTTGGGGTCCCGCGTAAATTTAACCGCCGTTTTCGATGGCCACGACTATCGAGTGTGTTCTAATTACCAGAGGCCTCCGGTCACGCAAAAGTGCTCGCATGAGGCCTTGAGCTTCAAGTGTGAGTTGATTGCGCGAGGACTGTGGGTGCGAAAAATTGCTCACCTTCTGAGATGCCCTTCGAGGGGTTTGTGGGGGTTGCCGACGGTGATAGCCGTCATGTCCCTTGTCTATGTGCCGTCGATCTTTGTTGCCCCCACAGAATTTTGACCGTCCCGGTGCGCGGATTCTTGTCGCACACATGCTCGTGTTTCTGCGTGGTTTCTGGTTCGCGCTTTCGCACGTCGACGTTACCGGCGCGCGAATCGGGGGTCGCCTTGTCGACTGGCCGAATCGGGGTTTGGAAGGGTTGCAGGGGGGGTCTTTCATCAGTTTCTACATATTTCTTGTCTGCGCGGTTGGGATGTCCGATCTTGATGAACTCTTGCACTAGGGGTCAGTTTGGGGTCGCGTTGCGCCCGATTTTGTGGTGGTGCATCCACCGCTGACCTTTGCTCTGCGCGTGCTGACGTTCAACGACAGCTTGAGAGCTGCAGAGCCTTCCTTCTGTGCGGCCGAGGATAGCGTTCCTTGTGTGCACCCACTGGTGCTCCATTCCACTGACACCGGTCGCGCAAAAACAGGTTCCTTGCTACTCCCGCACCGGCCAAATTCGGATCCCGGAGGACTTCGAGGCGCCGCATGAATCTGGCCGTTGTTTTCCACGGCTTGGACTTCTCCGTCTGTCTTCAATGGCGGCGGCCTGGTATTGCGCAAAATTGCTCGCCTTGTACGTTGCCCTGAAAGGGGTTTATTGGGGTTGACGACGGTGTCGCTGGCCGGGTCCATTTAGGGTGTGCCGTGGATCTTCGTTCATCGGCGCCCCAAATTGCGGTGCGCCCGAGCAACGCCTGCTTCTGTGCAAACTCCATCCACCCGTTACGAATGCAGGCGAATCCACCAAGTTCGGATCCTGGCAGACTTTGATGATCGACGCGAATTTATCCGTCCTTTGTGTGGCACCTAGAGCTTCGAGTGTGAGTTGATTGCGAGAGGACTGTGGGTGCGAGAAATTGCTCGCCCTCTGAAATGCCCTTCAAGGGGTTCATGGGGGTTGCCGAAAATAAGGGACACGGCCGTTGTCACCGTCGGCAACCCACGTTAACCCCTTCGAGGGGATTTATGAAGGCGAGCAATTTTTCGCGCCCACGATCTTTGTTGCCCCCCTAGGTTTTTGACCGTCGCGGTGTGCGGAGTCTTGTCGTAGAATCGGGGGTCGCCTTCTACACTAGCTGAATCAATGTTTGTAAGGGTTGAAGGGGGGATCTTTCATCCTTTTCTACATTTTTCTTGTCTACGCAATGGGGATGTGCGAGTTCGATAAGCTCTTGCGCTAGTACCTGTGAATGGAAAACTGCACGAGCTCGCTTAGACGATGGTGAGAATCGAGTTTATGGGGGTTAGTTTGGGGTCACGCTGCGCCGAATTGTGTGGTAGTGCATCCACCACTACCCTTTGTTCTGCGCGTTCTATCGTTCACCGACAACAGAGTCTTCCTTCTGTTCACCCAAACATAGCGTTCCTTGTGTGCACCCACTGGCGCTACCTTCCACTGACACAAGCCGCGCGAAAACAGGTTCCTTGCTACTCCTGCACCCGCCNCATAGCGTTCCTTGTGTGCACCCACTGGCGCTACCTTCCACTGACACAAGCCGCGCGAAAACAGGTTCCTTGCTACTCCTGCACCCGCCAAATTCAGATCCCGGCGAACTTAGAGGCTCCCCGTAAATCTGACCGTTATTTTCAACAGCTTGGACTGCCCAGTCTGTCTTCAATGTCGGCGGCCTGGTAGTGCGGAAAAGTGCTCGCCTTGTGAGTTGCCCTGAAAGGGGTTTATTGGGGTTGACGACGGTGCCACTGGCCGGGTGCATTTCCGGTGTGCCGTGGATCTTCGTTCATTGTCGCCCCGAAATGCGGTGCGGCCGAGCATCGCCTGCTTCTGTGCAAACGCCATCCACCCGTTCCAATACCTGCAGCCGTGCGAAAACCTGTTACTCGCTGCAGACAAATCCGCCAAGTTCGGATCGTGGCGAACTTTGAGGATCGGCGCAAATCTATCCGTCCTCCGCATGGCGTCTGGAGCTTCGACTATGAGTAGATTGCGAAAGGACTGCGGGTGCGAGAAATTGCTCGCCCTCTTAATTGTCGTTGAAGGGGTTTACGGGGGTTGCCGAAAATAAGGGACACGACCATTGTCACCATCGGCAACCCCCATAAACCCCCAGAAGGCGAGCAATTTTTTGCACCCACGAACTTTTCTGCCCCCCAAGGGTTTTGACCGTCGCGGTGTGCGGAGTCTTGACACAGACATGCTTGTGTTTCTGCGTGCTGTCCGGTTCGCGTTGTCGCACGTCGACGTTCCCGGCGTGCGAATCGCGGGTCACCTTCTCGACTGGCCGAATCCATGTTTGGAAGGGTTGAAGGGGGGATCTTTCATCTTTTTCAACATTTTTCTTGTCTGCCCAGTGGAGATGTCCGTGTTCGATAGCTGTTGCACTAATGCCAGCGAATGGAACACCGCATGAGCTCGCTTAGACGATGGTGAGAATCAGTGTTTATAGGGGTCTGTTTGGGGTCGCGCTGCGCCGAATTGTGTGGTGGTGCATCCACCACTACCCTTTGTTCTGCGCGTGCTATCGTTCACCGACAATAGAGCCTTCCTTCTGTTCGCCCAAACATAGCGTTCCTTGTCTGCACCCACTTGCGCTACCTTCCACTGATACAAGTCGCGCGAAAACAGGTATCTTGCTACTCCTGGACCCGCTACCTTCCACTGATACAAGCCGCGCGAAAACAGGTTCCTTGCTACTCCTGCACCCGCCAAATTCAGATCCCGGCGAACTTAGAGGCTCCCCGTAAAACTGACCGTTATTTTCAACAGTTTGGACTGCCCAGTCCGTCTTCAATGTCGGTGGCCTGGTAGTGCGGAAAGGTGTTCGCCTTGTGAGTTGCCCTGAAAGGGGTTTATTGGGGTTGACGACGGTGTCACTGGCCGGGTCCATTTCCGGTGTGCCGTGGATCTTCGGTCATCGCCGCCTCGAAATGCGGTGCGGCCGAGCATCGCCTGCTTCTGTGCAAACGCCATCCACCCGTTCCAATACCCGCAGCCGCGCGAAAACCTGTTACTCGCTGCAGGCAAATCCGCCAAGTTCGGATCCTGGCGGACTTTGAGGATCGGCGCAAATCTGTCTGTCGTTCGCATGGCGCCTGGAGCTTCGAGTGTGAGTAGATTGGGAAAGGACTACGGGTGTGAGAAATTGCTCGCCCTCTGAAATGCCCTTGAAGGGGTTCATGGGGGTTGCCAAAAATAAGGGACACGACCGTTGTCACCGTCGGCAACCCCCATAAACCCCTTCAAGGGCGTTTCAGAAGGCGAGCAATTTTTCTTACCCACGATCTTTTCTGCCCCCCAAGGCTTTTGACCGTCGTGGTGTGCGGAGTCTTGAGGCAGACATGCTTGTGTTTCTGTGTGCTGTTCGGTTCGCGCTGCCGCACGTCGACGTTCCCGGCGCTCGAATCGGGGGTTGCCTTCTCGACTAGCCGAATCAATGTTTGGAAAGGTTTAAGGGGGGATCTTTCATCCTTTTCTGCATTTTTCTTGTCTGCGCAGTGGAGATGTCCGTGTTCGATAGCTATTGCACTAGTGGCAGCGAATGGCGCACCGCACGAGCTCGCTTAGACGATGGTGAGAATCGGTGTTTATAGGGGTTTGTTTGGGGTCGCGCTACGCCGAATTGTGTGGTGGTGCATCCACCACTACCCTTTGTTCTATTTGTGCTATCGTTCACTGACGACAGAGCCTTCCTTCTGTTAGCCCAAACATAGCGTTCCTTGTGTGCACCCACTGGCGCTACCTTCCACTGACACAAGCCGCGCGAAAACAGGTTCCTTGCTACTCCTGCACCCGCCAAATTCGGATCCCGGCGAACTTTGTGCCCTCGACGCACAAATCTTACTGTGCTTACAGTTTGCTCCGCTGTTTTGCAGGGTGTGGACACGAATTCGAATGACCTGTTCGACCCGCATAAGAGAGAATAATCCATTGTGCTGACGAGAATCGCATCCGTTGCACCGACGGTTGCATGACGGCGTCGAAGAAGGCTCAGCGAACGGCCGCATGAACCGGGCTATGGAAACTGAACAAGTCGTCGACTTGCATTGCCAGCTACAATACCTGGAGTTGGCCCCAACGACCTCTTTGGACAGTTCGCCATTCCAACAGTCAGCTGGGGATTTCCCCAGAAAACGAAATCTCGCTTTTCATGAGAGCTTTGGAGGTGGCATCCAACTGCCTACAGAATTGGCAACAATGTCCGCGGCCGAAGAACTGTCTACCTCCCGAATAGAGTTCCACATTCCTGGCGAGGTGCACCCCACAGCTTCGGCGCACAGGAGTTGCATGCCAATGGGTGTTTCTTAAGCATCGTCTGATGACGAGAGTGAGCGGTTGGTGGCCACTGATTACTCGTCTGGACAACGGTCCTATTCCAGTGGACCTTTGCTTCGCGCTAGCTCCGGTACTAGTAACTTGGTTGCCACCGACTATTCTTCGGAGGAGCTTTCCACAGCACGGGCGAGTCCAACGCATATGCGAAGTGATGATGCGATTCCAAGTTAGAGCCAGTCTGGGTCAGGATCGTCTAGCAGGGGTGATGCAGAGAGAAGAGCGATACTGCAGATTTTGCCCGCACCTATGCCAGGCGAAAGACGAAGGTATAGCATGGCTAATAGGAACGCCGGGAGGAAAAAACAGTATAAAAGAGTGAGAAACATGCTGTCCGAAAAGAGACTGCTCATGGTGCGTGGCATGGCATGTTGCAAGGCTCGATGTTGTTATGACGTGTCGCCTGAGGAAGTGTGAAAGGTTAGACAAGGACTGTACAGTAAGAGTCCGGGAGAGCGAGCTGAGTGGTGGATGAAAAGTATTAAGGATTTAACAGTAAATGAGAGTGAATAGAAACGTGTTCGCACTGTGGAGTTGGAACATTCAATGTGCATTAGGGCGTACTGCAATGTACTCGGTGTCTCGCGTAATACATTTTACAGCTACAAAAAACGTTTCGACAATGGCTACGTGCGTTCCGAGCATGGCCTGACGGGAAAATATAGGCCAACCAATAAAACGGTCGCCATGCTTGCCAGCATGAGAACGTTCATCGACATGCGGATAGCATGCCGAATGAGGTGGCTAACCAAGGTGGCGTTTCCAGACCGAAGCTTCGACTCCCGGCTGCTTTCACGAAGAGATCAATTTATGAGTCTATCAAATTCGACTTTCTGGCCGCTGGCCTCGATGTCGTCTCTGAGTCCAACTTTTACAAGTTGTGGCGGAAACACTTTTTTCACGTTTCCCTCGCACAATCTAACACATTTACGAAGTGCGCCATCTGTCATGAACTGAAGGAACGTATACAATATGCTGCTCTTTCTCGAGAAAGAGAACGTGCTCGAGAGGATATGAAAGCACACCAAAAACGAGGCAAGTTGAACATAGATTGGACTATAGTCGAGCGAAAACTGATTCCATGGTTCGTCCGAACGAGCGTTTGTGTCTCATCATTGACGGCATGGATCAGAAGAAAACAACTATCCCCCATATTGGTCAAGCGAACTACTCGAAAGCACTTAGGCACGAGATGATGATGAAGACTAATCTGACAGGCGTCATTGCACACGGCAGAGACCCTAGTATATACGTGTACACGTGGTTTCCGTATTTCAAACACGATTCCAACACGGTCGCTACTTGTGTTATGAGAACCCTTGTCGAAACTCAAGGGAGCGGGACGCCACTGCCACGGTTTTTGTGCATTCAAGCAGATAATTGTTGGCGGGAAAACAAGAACAAGTACATATGTGCCCTGGCTGCA